ACGGACAGAGCTTAAACACGGTAACTATACAGATATTACTGGGCAGAAGAGGAATACGTCAAGAAATGCAAGAACTAAGAATAAAAAAGTTGCAACGCGTTCAGACTCCTAGAACTGAAGCAACAAAATGCAATTACTACCAATTAAACTAAATGCCACCAACAAACTAACTCTATGAAACGCGAAAAGAACCACAACGAAGATATATTACAACAGTCAGCGAGGAGTGCAAAGACAATTCTGAAAGTACCGCTGACGACCTAGATGAAGCCGAAAGTACTGTGAACAAGAAAAAAAGAAGATAGGCTTAGTTACGGTGGACACGCTCAACTGCAACAGCGCCACGATCATTGAGATCAACACCAAATAAGAGCATGTGCGAAGAACAAAAAAAGAAAGCATATCTTATGTTTAGCTCCAAGCCTGAAGACACAAATAATCCACAAAACAACCACATTCTAACTGTGCTGCGGCTGTAACTACTCCCAATGATGCAAAACCCCGTGATTCTTCTTTATGCACAACACCTAAAGCACTTTGGCAAACTTCCAACGTCTCAGAAAACTTTGCAATCGGAAGTTTGGAGGCATTATTCAGCGGCTTTGTCGTTGGACAACGGTTTCTGGGCTAACTGTTTGGGGGGATGAACCATCTTTTGGGGATCTGAGTCGTGATGAAGTCTTGAAATGAAACAGACGCAGGTTTATGTAGAGCGGAAATTTTTTTTGGTAACGAGAGCATGAATCCTTTTAGGTTTATACCCGAAAGGGGTTTTAATCAAAGGATGATTTTTTACAGTCACGTAGACTCGTTTAATAAATAGCCTTTTTTTCCCAAATCATTTGAGGCCCTCTAATCTCAGTGATAAAAAAAGCTGTACGGATTTTTTTTTTTTTTTTCAAGACAACGGGACATACTGTAATGATTTTTCAACTTTTAATAAGTGAAAGTTCTCTTAAAATATACGATCTTTGACCTCCATAGAACTCGCTGTAAAACCAGCCGGTTGCAGATTTATTTTGCACACGGTATTGTGAAGGGCAGAAGAATGGAGCCATTTTTGTATAAATAGCTATCAACTTACAGAGCAATCAAAATCTTTATTTAAATAGGCTGTTCCCTTTGGTCCAAATAACTGGCGTTTAATTTTGGTAGTTCTCAAATCATGCACATAATGTTTGTGACAATGAGAAGCAACATCCAGTACTTCTCTATTAACACTTACTAAAATAAAAATAGAGAACTTCAAAATCTTTCATGAAATATGCAGTAAAAACCAGGTTAACTCATAATAACCTGAGAAATTTTTAAAAAATTTTCCATAACTCACCTTCTGAGCTCGTAAAATGAACTCCGAGTGCAGTTTTGACAAGTGAACTGTTATACCAAAGCTTTCTGGTGGTATTTGATGCAATTTCGTCCCATTATAAATCTCACCAAACTCGCAACAAAAAACCTTCCATATTAGCTTACTTCTCGACATTTCGTACGCAGTGGTGCACTACTCGGAAAACTTGCTCTGCTTCTAATCGAAACTTCTTTCACTTTGAAAGTTACATGTAAAGCCAAGAAACCTGCTGACAGCAAGTCAGAGGGAAAATTTCAAGTTTGTGTTTCATTAATAACGCACTCAGTTCCAATCTTTTTAATATTTACCAACGTTCCTTCTAGCGCGATTCTGTCTCAACCTAAGAAATTTTTTCAATTCCTTATTTTTACGTTCTCTTGACTCCCAGCTTTTCCACACATAAGAAATCTCAAAATAAAAAATCTAGAGAAATCAGGTCTTCCAGGCTATTTAACGAGTCTTCTTATTCTAACCCAGTTATCAAGTGAAGTTTGGTCGATATATTCTCTGTAGTCTTCCAAATAACAAGCTGAGGTCCAACCAGCATTACGTACAAATTCCACTACTGTCCACCACTTGATTGCCATATTTTATTCTTGCCCCAAAGATTCTGTTATCCGCTGAATGCCTTTCAATTGTTTCGTGAAAAATATTAGTTTTAATTTGTGTCCTTGCACTCTAAGAAAATTCAAATCGATTATATTATTTACCTGATTAACCACTTCACAGAAACCGACATCAACTGCGAAATCCCTTAAGTTAATACTTTTTGCGAAGAATATGCTACACGTTGCACCAAATGAACTGTGGAAGAAACCGCTTTCCCTTTGAACAATAATTTTAATTGCAGTACAATCTAATTTTTGACGCCAAATTCTCAGTTCATACCGAGAAGAAAATTAAAGATTTAAGCTTTTCTTGACAATGTCGACAAGATCTTCTTTTTCTACTGTTGTTGCCCGAAAAACTGTCGATAGGTAATTTTGAACCATTTTTTCAAACAAAAAAAAAATCTCCTAGTAATCCTTTACATATCCAGTGTTACTACGGAAGAGGTACTTTCTGCCGGCAGCTAAGGCTTCTGAGCGTTCAAAGCACAGTACAATATTGAGTATTTATTTTAAAAAAATTTAAAAAAGAATGAAAATAGCTCAACTCATGAATTGTTTCTACGGGGTTTCCCTGTCATACGTTTATACGGGGATCATGAGCAGTTAACCATACAATGGCACTTGAGAAACCAGAAGCAAATTTTTCCAACTCCAAAAATTGGGATTAAAAATAGTACGGGGAACAATGGATTGATACTGTAGCAGATTAGAATGCTTGATTTTCATAGACTTTAAAGACGAATACCAAACCCCAGAAAACGAATTTTATTGCAGTCAAGAACAATTGAAAGATTATTATTTTTCAAAAATACATGTTAGACACGCTGCTAGCGAGGGCAAACTAGATGGGGAGGGAAAACAGGAGGCGGGAAAGCGGGGTTGAAACAATAAAAGGACGCACTGAAGCAGACCACGGCTGCTCAGTAACCTCCTAACCGAAGTAATCAGGCCAAAGCAAACCGTGTAATCTGCTTCTCTGTCGCCATCCAGCAGCAGCGCGATCTTTCGATAACGTTCCTCTGAGTCTCTCTGATCCTACTATCTTTTTATCCAGTTGGCTCTCTTCCAACTCATAGACGCCGTCAAAAAAAGTGGAGGCCATTTTTGGCGCTATATTCAATTGAAGCCGGTCGTTTGCCAGTGGTTTTATCCATCTGTAGAGATATATTTATTATATTCTTTGGTCGGTACAAGGCGGGCAGTTTAGCACTGTAAGTGTTGTTTCTGCTAGTACGTTTGAGTCGTTTATGGGAGGGTCAGGATGACGCTGAGGCTTTGCTCTTTTACCATTTCGTTTCTTAGTTTTTACAGAATTGCTTAAATAAAACATCGAAATTTTGAACGCAGTTAAATTTTTCATGAATTCATTTGGCTTAATTTGAAGAAGAAACGGTTTATCGCTCAAGGTTTTTTTATAAATTTTTGCATTTATTTAAATAATCTTTTTTATTTTTTTTTTAATAGTTCTAGAGTAGTCTTTGCTGATTGGATCACATCTTCCAGTTAGTGTCAACAAATAGCATACTGTTGGGTTAGAAATCTCCCTGTTGTATTTTATACCTATGCTTTTATTTCATGAAGCAACATCTGGGCTTTAGATTATGAGTGTTGAGCTGTAATTGTTTTGTCTATTCTAGCACTCGTTTTTTTCAGCCGTTTTTCGATTTTAGAGTTTTAAATAAATAGACACTTTTTAGCTTTCTTCCCAAGGTTCTTGATTGCTAACATGGGCCGACCACCAAAGGCTAAAGCGTCCGTGTCTCCAAAAAAGTCAAAGAGTCCTGCCAAGAAGCAGAAGCGATCAAAGAAAGTTTGTATTTGAGAGACTTTTTTAGTTTAACTGTGAGTTTGTCTCGCTCGTTCTAGCTCTTTTCGTTTACAAAGCTAAAGTCGCTGTTTTTCTTTTGGCAGTAGTCCATCTGTCATAGTGGTTTAAATTTTTTTTACAGTGAACTAAAAAACTTTCTGACTTCTGAGAAGCTATTTATTGCAGCCATGATGGTAAGATTTAAACAATTGTTCCTTAACCATCTCTATTTTCATGACCCCAATGCACCTAAACGTGGTAAATCTGCATATATGTTTTGGTTGGCCGACAATCGACCGCGTTTAACAAAGCCAGGAATGTCAGTGGTTGACGTCACCAAAGCTGCTGGAGAGGAATGGAAGACGGTCAGCGCACAAGAGAAAGCGAAGTATGAAAAGATGGCTGCTGAAGACAAGAAACGTTACGAGAAGGTTTGCTTTCAACTGTAGCATTGAAATGTTTTGCACATCCCGTTATAGTAACCACTGTATAGGTTCTGTTATTACAGGAGATAAAAGTCTATAAGGCTGGAGGCGGAACTTCGAAAGAATCGCCAAAGAAGGCTAAGGGAAAGAGCAAGAAATAATAATGGGGTTGCCACCTGCTTAAATGTTTGTAAAGTTTGGACCCTTAATGTAAAATAATCTTTCCTTGCTTTCATCTATTGTCTTACTAACAGTTTTTAAAGTATACCGTCTTTCAACCACTTGTTTATTCCTGATTCCGCAGGCGGAGTTTTTCCTAAAAGCCTTCTTTACATTCATGTATTGTAATTCCGATACGTCATTGACGGTCACTTAATTGATTTGCTTGATTAGTGACAGTTGTGGCGGCACTCTTCATTCATGTGTTGTACTGTTTGTGAAATGGCTTGAAGTAATCCTGCTCATTTTCTTATGATCTCTCCTGAATAAATTAATAACTGACCGAGATTAGTATCCACACACTCATGTCGCACGTCATTTCCATTCGTGGTAGTCGTGCTTTCCAGCAAGATGCATTTGGAGTGGGTACCGTAGCGCAAGTGATGGAACTCATCCGGTCGTTGTTCTCAGTGGCGTTCTGTTGGAAGTCGTCGGCAATGACAAACTTTATTAACCAGAACTAAATGTACAACTCGCAATAAAAGCTGAGAAGGAATTGTAAGGGGATGGGTGAAGAAATAAGACGGGAGGGGAGTTGGGTTTCTTCTGCTCAACGAGGACTACTAAGGCACCGCTCGGAAGTTCCTTAGGTCTGCTAACTGCAGACAAATACAAAAGTTGCAAAGCCCTGAGAGGTGTGCTCGTGTCGCAGGGAAGCAGAAGAAAGTTAGACTGACAAAGCACCATGGGTGAAACTATAATGCTAAGAGATTAAAAGCAATATATCATCTGATATGATGCACTTACGGGAGGATAAAGCTTGATTTTAATTTCAACAAAAAGAAAACGACGAGCAGTAACAATTACCAGTTCCAGTTTAAAGCTCTACCCCTTTAGCCAAATGAGTATTTTTAACTACAACGTACAACAAACATTCTGTATGAGAATAACAAGAATAAATTTCGAACAGTGGAAAAAACTTCGACAAATACAGGTTAAGGTTGAGTTGATCGACTGTATGAGTTAATTACACAAAAAAAAAAGAAAAACTCTTATTTCTGGTTTTTTTAACCACAAAACTGATGATGTATCAAGGCGGAATCTCAGTTTAAAACTTGAGGTTACGGAACGAGACTTTTATGCTAAATTAAAAATCAGTTTTATAAATTTGCCAGCGTTTTTCCCCTCATCGCTCAATTCCTTTGAACCGTTCCAGCACCTCAATCAGTTCCTAAACAGTAACTAACGTCCCTTCATTAAAAAATGGAAAAGTGATCAAAAGGATGAGTGAAAGTACAAGTACTTCTGAAGAAAACCAAAAAATAAGATACAACAACAGAAGAAAAAACAGTAAAGTAGCAACCTAATACTATCAACAGTTGTCGTGGAAAAAAGTAATTTTTTTCTAAAAACTATGCCAACAACGAATATATTTAAGTGATGGGATCAGCATAATCTGTACAGCCAAAAATAAAAACATGAAACAAATCTGATGGAACATGAAAAATAAAAAAAAAGAAGAAAAATAAGCATCACCTATTAAAGCGTGGCCTCAGCAGACGATATCCATGACCTGGAGGAAAAGGAGGAGGAAGTCTACGAAGAGGGAAGGGGTATGGACCTCTCATTCTAAACTGCACTGCCACTGGAGGGAAGCGCGGGCGCAATGCTGGATGTGAAAGGAACCCACGCGGTACAGGTGGTAAAACCCTTTCGTGCATGTTACTCGCTCCAGGTCGAAGGACTGGAGGCGGAATTGGCGGAGGTCGATCGGGCCTTTTTGAAGATGCAGGACTGCCAAAAAATGTTATCGGTTCCTCGTGAGGTGGTGCATCCTTTACTGGAGGGAAGAACTTGACATCTTTAGAAACCTCCTTCTTTGCAGTGTTTGAACTCTCTTTTTCCTGATGAATTGATGAACTTGTCGGCTTTACGCTGTTCTCAACGTCTTCTTTGTTTTTGACAGGGGTTTGAGGTTTTGAATGAGAAACACTGGCTTCCTCACAGAATGAACCAGCCTTTCCAACGGTATTCTGATTCACAGCACTTACAGGTTTCGGATCTGGATTTCGGACTGGAGTCGTTTTTCCGAATCGATCTAGAGCAGAGCGGTTTTGTACGGCCATAAGATGACTGCCAAGTGGCGTATGGATAGTGCTGAGAGCTGATCTTACTGAAGAATTTTGAGGCTGTTGTTGAGGCTGCTGCTGCGATTTCTGCGGAATAGCAAGTGCATTCAAAAGCGTCTTGATGACTGTTTCTGACGATGGAGTTGAAGCAACAGTCCCGTCTTGACTCAGCGAGTTTGGCTGAGTAAGAGAAGTAGAAATAGAGTTTACCTGGGGATTTATTTGCACAGAAGATTGTGGAAAGATGTTCCTTTGACTGCTCCGACCTTGTAAATTTTGCTCCGCGTTATCGGTAAATAAAGATAAAGAAGATATTTCTCCAGAAGTCTGCCCGGCTAGGTTTAAATTATTTCCAAAATTCACGTTTGATGCCGCACTTGATCCCACCGGCTTCGACAGACGAATCGTCGGGCATGCTAACGCTTCAGCAGAAGCGGACGGTATTTTTGGAGTTCCATTTTTGTGGGGAAACTGAGATGTAGAGTTGAGAACAGACGCGCTTGTCGAAGGTCTCTGATTAGTACCTGACAATGGAGTCGGAGGGGGTCTGGAGAAATCAATATGCGAGGGATTTACTGGTGGATGCGACGGTGTTTCATCACCTTTCGCAGGCGAGTGATGGATGATCTGTACAACGGAAGGTTTTGGGGGCGGGAAATTCACATTGGTGATAATGTTATTAGCAGCTGGTGATGTCATTAGCGGATTTTGTATCTGGGAATTCATTGGCTGTTGTATCCTCAAAGGTGCAGAGCCTTCAGGCGTAGGACAGGAAGACTGCAGATGGTTTGTGGCTTGGTTGTTCGTATAGTTAGGTGGAGGTACTGCAGTATTCACAATCATAGGTGGTGGAGCCGTAAAAGACATGGCAATATTTGGTGAGCTAAACAGTGGCGAAGTTGTACTTAAATCTGTATTGACACTGGAGATTGCTTGTAAAGGCTTTTCGAGCGTTCGCTGTAAAGGTGGTAGTTGAACAAATGACGTCAGCGTAGTTGACAACGAGGGTGTACTGGTATTTGGTTGCTGAGGAGTAAGGTGGTTACCACTCTCTTGAATTGGTGGATGCATTGGCGTTTGAACTAAAACTGGGGCTGGTGGAGCTGGATGGAGTATTATTGGAGCAGGAACTGTTGGCTGAACCATAACTGTTTGTGGCGGGGGAGGGCGAAGAACCACTGGATGTGGTGGAGCTGCTTGAAGAACCAGCGGTGGTGGTGGTGGTGGTGTCGGAAGGATACATGGAGGAGGAGGGACAAGTGACGTCACAGGCGTGTTGATTGAAGTTGCCAAATTGCTGCCCATCAAAGGAGGACTCCGAGGAGCAGGAGGTGGAGGTGGCAGCATCGACTCTTCTGCCGCTACGCTGTGACCACTTTCGATATCCATTTCAACAGGAGGATTTATTAATGAGTCATTACCAACTTCTTCCCTCTTTTCCATTACCGGAGGTTTTTCGCTAAAATAATTAATGCAAACACAAGGCCGTTTTAAAAGAGGAATACGTCGGCAATTTTTTCAAAATTTTTCATGAAAGAAACATTCCTATTAAAAAACGAAAGTTACTGCAATATCAGACTCAGGTGAATAGGTTAAAAAATAGATAGAACTCTTTACCTCTCATTTTGATCATTTTTCTTCCCAACCTTCATCAAAGCGTCCTTCAAAGTACTCAGCAACACCTTGTGGTCCACCTAGACAAAAAACAATGAAAAAAATAGAAGAAAAAATATACTGGAAGTTAACTTGTACTTGCTGCGATAGAAAACCACATAAGAACTGCTTCCTCTCACTAACATCTCTGATAGCAAAAAATGTAAAGGAGCCAAGCGAAGTCGGTTACAAAAAATATTCTAGGATTCTTTACACGAAGAAAACAAAATATAGAAACTCAAACATCAGAAAATATACAATCCCGAAGAAGTAAACGAAACGACAAAACAAACAACAAGTGATTAGGAAAAAAAAACATGTTTATAGAATCAAAGTCTCGGCATACCTGTTTCATAGCATTTTTGATTTCCCCCATTAAGAATTCGGCTAACTGATTGTGCGAGCACTTTTCCAATTCATTCATAACAGAAAGTGAATTAGTAGCGCCGTCAGCAGTCTTTAGCGCATCAATTCGCAGAGGAGATGTCTTCCTTTTCTGGTCCTTAGAATAAACCATTTTGAAGCCCTAATCTCAGCAAGTTAGCATGTACTAGAAGAGACACTTCTGGCTGTGTTTAGTTCAAATGGGATGACAAATAGAGTGGATAAGTAACAGGGACTTCAAAAAATCAAACCTCATTGAGCGGAAGAGGTGGAGGCGGCGGAGGTGGATGGCTTGATTGGGTAGCACTACCAGCCCCTCTTGACGAAACCATTGAAGAATTATCTTGGCGGCCTGGTGATCCTGGAGGAGTCCTTGGGCCTCTTCTTTCTTCCGTTGCAACGGCTACAGGAGGCGGCTCACAGATCGCAGGGAAATCGTCAAATGAACCCGAGCAATTCTAAACCATCTCCATTTAAAACTACAATTCGGCTGTAAGAATTGAAAGGCACTACACAAATTACTTGAAAAGATCAGAGCAATGCAGCAACAAGCGAAAAACTTTACATAATTAGCTTTCCTTCCATAAGCCTGTTCACTGGGGTCAAGCGGAAGATATCCCAGTGTAATGTATGAATCGACTCTCCCCGTCAACATCTTGTGCCCTAGTAATCGCTCCATTAAACCTTCTTTGCGAAGAAATGCATAGCAAGCACTATTATCAAAGACTTGTCGATCTAATTCTTCCTTCGTTAGCCTGCGAACGTTCCCACTAGCGTTTTTGGCAGTATTCGTGCCGCTAGGACCTGGAGCGTCTTCACGTTCTTCTGAAATTCAAGGCAGACGTTTCAAAAAACACAACTGTGACTTACACATATTTTTAATCCACAATTCCACTAGCTTATTTTGTATGTGGTTTACAAATATGCGAAAATAATTTGAATGAAATGTGATAAGCTAAAATAACTAAAAAGAAAGGCAAGCAATAAGGCGTGGAATGGCTGCTAATTAGCAATACAGTTTTCAAACTAAGAGGAAGCAATAGTATAAGAAGGAAGTTCATTAAACGTTTCTAAAAAGAAGGAAAACCCAGTCAGAGCAAGTTGACAGATAAAAGCAAAAAACTTGAAACTAAAAAGAAAAATGACATCATTAAATACTCACTAGAAGTTTCAGGCTTCTTCTCTTTCGGTGGATTTACCATATTGCCGATGATCTTATCAAAAACATCACCGCCACTTGGTGCTTTAACAGCAGATTTTTTTGCGTTAACAGCACGAATTTCTTGAGATGCTCTAAAATATTTTAATCTGATAAGGCGCAAACATACAGGAATTAAGCCTGAGTTTGAGTTCCAAAATTTAAAGCTTCTGGTTAAAACTTCAAGAACAAAACCAAAAGTGCAATTTAAAAAAGCCACTTTTTTTTCGATTTTTGAATGGTGAGTTAAAGTTTCAGTGTCAGTTCGAAAAGAAGGAAATATCGGAACCAACAACGAAGTGACTACAGATCTTTAAGGAAATGAAACTTGATAAAACAACTTGTGGCACTTACTTCCTCTTTGTTGGAGGTACAATGCGATTAGAAAAAGAAGCTTCATTTTTGCGAGGCGTCACAGCACTCGTTAACGGAGATCGTTGTACAGAATCGCTAGGTCCAGTTTTCAAAGCACCCTCAAAAGTGAAAAACTTTTATAGCTGCCTAAACAAGATAAAAAAACTAAAAGTAGTACTATCGAGGTAAAAAAAAGACAAATACCTTCTCGTCATCATTTTTACCACCTTTCTTCCTCGGTATTCTAAACGGCCTTGTAAGCTCGTTGGTACCGATTTCCATAGCCACATCAATACCAAACACTTCAAGATAATCTAATTTATTTTTCTTCCTGATTGATACACAAAAGAACTCCCTTCCGCACACATTTTACTTCTACTGTTTACAGCTACAACAGTTCAGAATTTACTAAACCTGGTGAACCTTAGACGGAGAAAAACCAAATCACCCACTAGAAAATCTATCCTTTTTCCAAACTCTGAAAAAGTAACCTCACAAACGTATCACAAAAAAAAGCACTACTTCAACTCTTGTGCTCAGACCTCAAATTTCGTTAACAATGAAATTTTCGAAATATCAGTGGCAAAAATTTTTGTTAAATTTGGCAAAAAAGTTCATTACATGGTACGTTACACGGCATAATACGTACTTATTCTTTATTCAGCATAACGAGAAAAAAACCACTGTGATTTACAACATACATGTATAGGACGTAAAAAAAAAACGAAAGACATGTTCAAATCTTATACAACCTCACGTTTGAAACCAAATTCACCACTATTAGCCAACTCTTATCCAAAAATCAAAATCCACATGAGTAGAAATTGAGAACTTAAAAGTATTAGATGCTGGCAAACATGCATTCAAGTTTGACATTAATAACTGCACTAACTCCATATGACATTTTTCCAACTACTCTCATTTGTGCAGACGTTGCTGTACTAGACTGTCTGCAACATAAAACGTTCGTTCACAACTAGAAAAATGACGAATTTATAGCAAATATACCACAAAAAAACCCACCAACATCTTTTAATCAATTCCCTTTTTCTCAAACAGCATTTGATGATAACTGTTCCATCAATCTAGATGGTCTTCCTCACAAACTATATAGCAACCAGTAAATGCTGAATTTCATATAATACTGATCTCACCAATCAAATGTGCCATATAGACTGTCTACCAAACTGAAATTTATAAACCAATTTACTTAATGAGCAAACAAACCTTCCTCTAATAGCTTTGTCTGCAGCAACTAAAGCTATACTAAAAACAACCTCCCAACTGTTTGCAGTCTCGTGCAACAACCGAAAAATAACCCGCAATTGGCAATCCTAGTTCCGGCTCAACTGTTCTATGTTTAAACATCTAATTACCCCAAATTTAGTTTCAAGCGTGATGTAATGGAACAAAAAATGAAATTGAAATTAAAATATAGTGATAGTAAATATATGTACGACAACATCAGGTGAGATTCGATATTATCGTAACCACGATAAAAACGGAAGAATTATAACAAAAAGAAAAACAAGCAAGTAAACGTCTTTTTTTTCTTTCGATAGCAAAAATGCATTTACAGCAAGTATATTAATGTAGAGTAACAATAGAATCATTTAATACAGACCATGTTTGAATTTTTTGCCGGTTTCAGGAAAAGAAATAATTTATAAAGAAAGAGCAACTGCTGGAAACTTTGAATTTCATTAATTTACCGTCTCTACAACTGAAAATTGCTTTTCCCCTCTTGTTTTATACAAAACTAGACACCGAAACGGCACTCGAAGAGCACTGTGAACGCTGCCTTGTCACTTTAAGTTCGGAGTAGGCTAACAACGACTGTTCATAGTACTAGACAAACACTTGATTTCAAGTGATAATTGAAAGAACGATAAGAAGATGATACCAATAACAGAAGATACAAAACGAGAACAGAAAGCACAAAGTTTGAAGATAGAACTGTTGCGTTTCAATGCACCGGAATAATAAAACTCAATGATCAACATTTAAAAAATGCATAACTTACTCAATTGGGTAATTAACCAGTTTGAACAACTTTCCAACGACAAAAGGAAAAAAGGAATGAATGAATAAAGCTATGAAAAAATTTCTTCCCTGTCTTATCCACACACGAGTAAATTCGTGGAACGAAACTCATATTACATGGCCACTGCAGCAGACTTTTAGTAATGTTACTACTTCCAAAAAATGATGATTTACATCTAAAATCTAAACATTTAAGAAAAAGACTAAGCTAAAATTAAACGATGTTTTTTTTTTAGAGACAGGTTTTGCCAAAAAATATCAAAGCCCTCAAGTCTCTCTTCTAAAAACAGCCTCTTGCTCCTGGCCATATTAGATCAACTCAGGTTCCTGAGAAGACAAGATAATCACGTTAATTTAGCACCTAAAACACGACTGGCAAATAACATGTCACGTATTATAATAATAAACAAAATTCTCTATGAGCATTGTAGGGACTCATACTAAACACTTATGAAAGACTTGTCAAAATAAAATAAAAACAGCACTTTACAAAAGATTTTTTAGAATTGTTCCCAAGAATGCACTGGAAGAAGAGGAATGATAGCAGTAGATTTGCAATGAACAATTTTTATTCAAGCATCTTGTATTTGTAGTTGTGTCTCGGTTTCCGTAATATTGGGCTTTAAAAAACATGTTTTTGAGAGTTAATTAAGCAGCAGCAATGCTTGTTTCATTTCAGACGTGTATTAATTGAAAATTATCATTAAATTATAATTATGATTCGATTCGAAAACCACATAAGACCGACTGCTTATTATACTGTCAAACTTTTGTAATTTTTATTTGCTTTAAATACTTCTAACGAAGAGATATGTCACGGATGTGGTTGGATATTTCCTACACAGTAGTAAATATTACTTTTTTACTGATGATGTACTGAGGGAACTTTTTTAGGAATTCTTTTTAGCTAAGGCCGATTGCACGATTTCTAAATCGCTTGTATGAAAGCTGAAAGACTGCCCCTCCTCAAGGAAAACTTTAAAAGAGAGGTGTTTTCAAAGCATACTGTGGGCAAGATGTCAAGCATGATAAGATCAAATAAATAGAAAGACAGGTAAAACTCTAGTCCTCTTCAGACCTGATACTGTCGGTATCTGGAGTGTTCCTATGGATTTCTGAAGATGCATAAACATTGCCTCCTTCAAAAGAACTAGGTGAGCTTAACATCATAGCAGATGCGTCTGCAACACTGTTTGTTGCAAACGGAGCTATTTCTGCAACTGTCGTCGAAACTGATGCATCTTCCACGCGTTGACCTGCAGGCGTGGAAGAAACTGCTGCTGCTGCACCACTTTTATCTTTTCTTTTGTCCCCTCGAGCACGTCGTTCTTTTTCTGCGCATTTCGCTGCACTATCAACCTTAATTTTTTAAAATTACGTAATAAAAAATTAACTCAATACTGATCCAGAAAAAAATATCCATCCTTTAAAAAATGTAGTACTCCACTACTTTTTTAAAGCGATAAATGTCAATTCCCAACTGAATAGACTACGCTGGAACTCAAAACCAATTTTTCAAAAAAGACACCCACAACTGAAATCTCTCTAGCCATAAAAAAGCACAAAAAACAAAGGAAAAACTGAACAAAAAGGAAAAAATAAATATATAAATACAGAATAAATAGATAAACGAATAAACAGAGTCCATTTCCTTCCTCTTTTTATATGGATTTAGAAAAAGGTAAGGTGACCGACTGGTATGCACAAAATTCAATCCTTCTTTGCACAAGATTTCTGGTCTCGCAAGTTACTGTCCAACCGTTTACACACACTTAAACTCTGACTTCATTTTCTTAGCCGTTCCGTAAAGATTGCGGCTACGGCACATGAAGGCGAAACAGCAGTGGTATCGAGGTGAAGCACAACCCGATGTAGCAAATTTGAATAAATGCAAATGCACGTAGACTGAAAGCGAGACAAAAGCGAGACTTATATAAAATAACGTACTAACCTCCAGTGCCTTAGCAACAATGTGTTGTATTGTACGTTGCATTTCTTCCTCTTCCACTGGATCTGCTACCTGTTTATTTGCACTAAGCGCAACACGTTTTCCTGAAGAGCTTCCTCTAGATGATCGGCTACGAGTGCGTTTAACACTAAACGGTGTGAGACTATTTTGTCCATGTGCAGATGGGTTGACTGTTGCTACACCATGGTTCGAAGCAGTTTCAGACTGAGGAGACAACAACGAAGAACGTGTCTGCTGCAGCAAACTCTCAGAAGTAGACTCGGCCTGAATTACTATCTGTTAAAACAAAAGCAATAAAAATTAGATTAAATGTTTTGAAAAACCTACAGCATACGCTTCTCAAAACAATATAACAAACCATAGCCGCGAGTGCATCCACTTTATTTAGGGAGTTTTTGAAGTTTCTTAGCAGTTGGTTTTTCTCAGCCGCATATACATCTGAAGCACCAATTACAGGCGCTGTTGAACCTTCTCTTTCTTTTGATTTGAGTTCCAGTTGCTGGTTCGCCAACTCCAAACTTGTAATTTCACTTTCCATAGCAGCACATGTAGCCTTTAAGAAATATACTGAATGAAGCAATGCTAAAGCAATAGGAAAGCTAAAAGTTTAGTTTGTGATACGCTGTCGAACTGTAATAAAAGTGAGGAAAACAAAAACAAGTGTTGAAGGGACTGACGGTGATCTTCTTATGATGTTCAACAATCTCTTTGGCCCGTTCTAAAAGATGAGCAGGACTGGACGCTTCAATATTTAACTCTTCAAGTCGTAAACGCAACCTCGCCACTCCCATGGAGAGTAAAGTATTAACACTCCTCTCCAGCCCTTCTTTCCTAGCTAACAAAGCATTTCGGTAAGCCTAAAAAAAAAATGAAAAGCGCCTCATTACAAAACTCATACTATTGCGTGGTTACCAGTACATTACTCCCAACTAATACGTAGCAGATTGACTAGTAAAAGTGCCTAAGCTTTTATACCCTCTAAATAATATTTTTATATCTGAGCGGTTTACCAGCTGGTCATCGATTTCAGCCTTTAGTCTTGCAATGTAATCATCCTTATTGTTATACATCACATCCAAAAGACCCTCATAATACGAACGAACACGTTCTGAAAACTATTAAATCAGAGATGGCAAAAAACTAAAAAGCCGAACAAAAGACGAAATTTTTGAATTTGGTAAAATGCTTTCAAAGTTCCTCCAAAATAAAACTGTTGTTGATTCATAAAAAGAAAACCCAAGTACTCTTTGTTTTGTCTTCACGTCACAAAAAAAATTCATTACTAATATTCCAACAACACTGACCAAGAGCCTGGTCTAATGCCGGGTACTTGCTCGGCTGCAGGCCGTTACATGTTACCCGAGATTGAGCTGGCGACGGAACTGAATAGGCAGGGGACGAAACATCTGCAGGAATTAACGAAGCATCTGATTCTTGTGATGGTGTTGTTTGAGCAGCAGCGGCAGCTGTCAAAGTGTTTAGAGAATCTAAAGCTTCAGCCGAATCTTCTGCTGGTGACTAAAATCAAGGTTTTTAGTAATTTTAAAAACAAACATATATGCAAAAAAAAAAAAAAAAAA